CTCCCTTTCCCAGGGCATCTTCCTCTTATCTCCCCCAAAGATGTCCTAATGGGTCAGTTGCCCAATCTGGATAAAGTTGGCCACTCATTTCCCCTTTCAGAAGCCTTCTTAGACCCCCTCCCCCACCCACCCCAAGCCACATGCCATAGACCTTGACCTTTGACTTGGCCCTGCTCATGGTTAATTAAACAGTTAATTGTCCAATTACTTATTACCCATCATTATAATTTGATGGAAGCTCTGGGGTAGAGATACTACAGTGCCCAGTCCAGGGCTGGTGTACAGGAGACACGCAAAATAAACGTTTGAGGACCGAGGTGATGAACTTGCCATCACGGCTCTCAGGGAAGGTCACAGGGATGGGCATTCAGCTCCATCCATCTTTCAGACCAGCTGAGAGATGAGCACAGCTTTCCTATTCTGCCTGAGATGAGAATTGCAACTTGGGGGAGGACTACTGCAATTTTAATGTTTATTATGGCAAAGTTCAGAATGGGGGTGTTCTGAAGCATGTTGAGAGGATTTTCTGAGATTCCAGGTCTTGAAATGGCCTCAGTCAACCCTGGGGGCTGCAGGAAAGTTACACAGTTACTGCAGTTCTGCCTTCCCCTTCAAGAGCTCAGCCATGGGGGCTGGTCTTGGTCAATATTCCTTCCTCCAGCCCGTCTTGCTGTGTGACCTCGGCTGAGTCACTTTCCCTCTCTGGACCAGTCTCATCAAGTGCTTTGAATCCTCACCTCAGGGGCCTCTCCCCTCGGGAAGAGGGGAGCAAGTCACAGAGGTGAAAAGTGACTTATGTTCACCTGCTGAGAGCACCTGGGGGTATTTGGCAATCTTGGACAGGGCATCCTGAGGGACTGGAGAGAATGCTTCCCCAAGAGGTAACCCGCCCTCCTTCCCCTATGGGGGGACCTGGCCTCAGTTCCTTCATCTGTAAATGGCACAGTTAAGGGGCATGTCCACATGACGCAGAGAAATAGACAGGATGCCCTGTGCAGAGAGCATGGCCAGCCGAGGGGGTTGGTAGGTCAGAGCTGCTCTCTTTGATGGATGCGCAGAGTTCCCGTCTGTCCCTGGGAGTCTGTCAGGGTTGGAAGGTCCCAGGACTGGAGACCCTTTACTATGCAAGGAACTGGAGACCATGTGGACCAGCCAGAACATGAAAGAATATGTGACCAAAACCCAGGGACAAGTCCTGAGGCCACCCCGCTACGCACGGCCCTCCCCATAGAGATCTCCTCCTGTGGCTGCCCCTGGGGCTGGAACCACTCCCACGATGAAAAATTCTGTATTTTTGAGCCAAGTTCAGCCTCCCTGTGGGCAGAGTGCATGTCTTCTCCCAGCACCCTGGGACACACCCTTGGGAGTCGGAGAGGCCTCCAGGACCCTTCCATTCCCAGAGGGAAGGAGCACAAGGAAGCAGAGATTCCCTCTGTCTGTGCAGAATCTGACACACCGTTCACCGCGGTGGCTGCAGGGGTACCTGCTGTGGCTTCTTCTGGGAAGTGATGGCCCTTGACTTGCTTGCAGGTACAACCCACAGAGGAAGGCTTGAGGGTCTTAACTCAGCTGGTGGTCAACAACCCCCAGGGATATATGATCTGGATGGGCCCCATCATCCCCCT